TTTTTGGTTTTTTCGAGACAGAGTTTCTCTGTGTAGCTTTGGAGCCTATCCTGGCACTCGCTCTGGAGACCAGGCTGGCCTCGAACTCACAGAAATCCGCCTACCTCTGCCTCCCAAGTGCTGGGATTAAAGGCATGTGCCACCAATGCCTGGCCAGCCACTAGTTCTTACCTCTACCAACATTCAGACCAAAGGTCTGAACCACATCCTCAGACTGCCTGCTCTGCCTTATATTCCTCTCTGCCCAGCCATTCCTTTATGTTTCCCATCCCTTCCTATCTCTGCCTCCTTAGTGCTGGGATTAAAGAAATATGACTCCCAAGTACTAGGATTAAGGTGTGAGCCACCACCACTTGGCTCTGTTTCTCTTTTGAGACTGGATCAATTTTCTGAAGGCCAGGGTGGCCTTGAACCAACAGAGATCTGTCTGCCTCTTCCTCCCAAGTGCTGGGATTAAGGGTGTGTGCCGCCACTGTTTGGCCTATATGGCTGACTAGGGTGACTAGCTCTGCATTCTAATTTTCAGGCAAGCTTTATTTGTTAGACCATAAACAAAATATCACCACATTATGATCCAAAGATATTTGTGAGAAAGAAAATTTCCGTTCCCTTTGATCCTTTCTAAGTACTACCCTTTGCTTCTGGATGGTAGAGAAGTCTTTCCAGAATCCTAACAAGGCTTTCTGTGAGGGACAAAAAGAATTTTTCTTCAGAAGATTTACTGCATGAGGCATTATTATAACTGAGGAAGAACAGGGTACCGTGAGGTAGACTGGGAAAGGGAAATGTCAGAGAAGTGAAATGAATTATGGAAACATACAGCACAAAAAGACACCCAGGGAGACAAGAAGGCTTCATGAGCAGAGGCAGGCCCACAAGGCCTCTCACTTCTAAACTGCTTGGACTATGACTCAGTCCAGGGGGCATGTGCTGTTATTGCAGATGGATTTGTAAGATAAGGACTGGAATGAAAGGTAGTGAGATAAGAGGAGGAGATACAGAGAATTCTACAGTTTAAGACAACCGAAGAATTAATATTTTATTAACATTAGGTTTTTTTTTTTCACCCCCGAGGGCAGGGGGGCCAGTCGGTACTAGGAATTGAACTTAGGGCTTCACCCATATCAGTCAGGTGGCCAGCCACTGAGATATAGTACCAGACATTGCATTAATTCTGAAAAGAGAAAATAGAGTGTGGAGAAGGATTTAAAAAGTAATGAAAAATGATCACGCAGAACTGAAGGTTTTCTTAACTCTCCAGTCTTAAGCCGACAACCTAACATGCAGGCATGGTAAGAAAAAGAGACCTGATGAAACCAACTTATGAAAACAACGACATAACTGAAAGCTTAGAAATACAAACTAATACATAAATGCAATATAAAACGTGGCACACAAAACATATAACACATAAAACACCTTATAGGTTGTATTTTACATACAATCGATAATACAGAACATGTACGAAGAGCCAAGAAGCAGAACATGAATGCTCGTCAAAAGACAAAGCAAAACCCTTTACATCAGAGAGCTTCAGCTTTCCAGTCACAGGGTTACACCAACCGGAGCAGTGCAGCAGGAAAATGGGTGTTTGATACATGCAAGGACGCACAAAGCTTCCGTCATCAATACTGTTTCTTAAGCACTCAGTGATAACATGCTGGAACCAAACAGGATTTAAGTGAGCAAGAAGTTGAGAGATCCATAAAACATAACTTTATTAAGAGAAGTTTGAAGGAAAAGTTCCATGCTGCTGTATGTGCAGGCACAGAGGCAGTAGTTTAGGATGACAGGAAATATGGAAATCCTTAATTGGGACACCTTAGGCAAAGAAGAACCCTAGAAAATATGCCAGAGCTATGAGCACGGGTGAGGGGCAGGGACAAGAGATTACATTAGAGCAAACAGTCCAAAAAACCGAAGGAAGGAAGGAAGAAATTCGGGGAGAAACTAAGTTATATAGCAAAGATAATACAGATATGTGCACGGAGTAACTACAAATTATAATTAACAGAAACAAAACTTAAGAAAAGTTCATCGTGGCTCTAAAACACTATGGACAACTTCAGCAACAAATAAGAAAGGAAAAAAAAAAAAGATCCAGAGAGAAGGTCCCAGAAGTAGGACTGGAAAAGACAAAAGGAAGACCAAACATGTTAAGATGTCCCTTTGGTAAACTATGGAGTGGTGGCTACAGATGAAGAGCAACAATTCAAAAGCTTTATTCAATGGCACAAATTCAAGCCATCTAAGGCTGTCAAAGACCACTGTCTAACAGTGATGGAGCTTTTGAACATGGAAAATGGAAAAAGAAATGACTATCAGAAAGAACCAGCTAAAATGTTTACAAAACTGAGTCCTGTGAATTGAATTTCAATTGTGTGCATTCATGATTCGGATAAAAACTTAACCGTTTTTTAAAAATGAGCTTCACGCTCTCTTTAGAAACCACACTTACCTGATTTCTTTTATTCTCCAGCAGTGACGTTTCATAGAGCTGAGCATTGTGAAGGACAATACCGCAAAATGCCAAATAGGCAGCAAAGTCCTAGGAGAAAAATGACAACAGCCAGATTGGACCTGCCTGCAAAATTGTCTAGGAACATTGCCTGAAACATAGATGTGATTGCAGTTGAAAGAAATGTTAAACACCAAAATGTAGGTGCTTGTTATGCATAAAATTAGGAACTCATGCACACTGTCAGCTAAATGGCACTACTAGCAGACGACTCAGTGTTCAGTCTTTTGTGTTATATGAAAAGGAAAGTAATTGAGATGATGATTTTGCATCAAATTGCAATTTTCTCTAATCAAGAGAAAAATGGTACAATTGATATAGATTGTACATGACACTAAGACTCAAGCCTATGAGGGACCAAATAAATAGCTCATACCTTATTCCTGAAGCAAATGAAGACTCATATTTGAGAGAATAGTGGCCATAACAAGTTAAGTCTCATGTAAGCTTGCAAATACTGGTTCAAATACATTCTTTTTTATTTTTAGATTTATTTATATTATGTATATTGTGCTCTATCTGCATGTATGACTTTATGCCAGAAGAGGGCATCAGATGCCACTATGGATGGCTGTGAGCCACCATGTGGTTGCTGGGAATTAAACTCAGGACTTCTGGGAGAACAGTCAGTACTCTTAATCCCTGACCCATCTTTCCAGCCCCCAAATGAATTCTTTTTAATATGAATCTAGAATCCTTTTTATACTACAATAGGGTGATGTGCTCACAGTTAAATTAATGATTAAAGCAACCGTTAGATCTATCCACACAAATGGATATATTTGGTTGAGATACAGTGATACAGTCTAAATATTTATTAAGGGCAGGTTTATTTTAATTGCCTACAAATAGTGGACGTGAAGTTTATCTAATAGCCATGCTTTCATATCAGGTATCCCAGTATAATTGATAACACAGATATAGTGCTCTGACTTTAAAAGTCACCTCTTACTCTCTAGAGCAATTAGAACATGGTTCACACAGGGTCAAGACTGCTACGTCAAAGAAACAAAATTAACTGTCTTGTTTGAATGCACCCACTAATTTAAAAGCACCCACTAATTTTAGAGGAGCAACATGGCTTGGAGTGGTGGAGAGGCAGTGGGCTATGGCAAATGTATACCGCACATCCGATAGGAGAATCATAAAGCTCTGGGGAACAGAGGTGTAAGCAGGCCTAAGGGACAGCTGGGATCTTGTCAATGTGGTGTGTGGAATGTGTTTCTCAGGAGTTGGATGGGAATGCTAAGATAACCCTGACAGCTGTCCTCTTAGAAGCTGGATTCCTATAATCTTTCTGAGCTTGCACATCAGCGCCCTGGTGCCCTGTGCAAAGCTCATACAACGAGGAAATCTGCTTTACCAGGAGGAAAGTGCCAGTGCTCAGACAGTGCATGGTACAGGGCTTAGAGCAACCAATGTTGTTGTTTCTCCTCAAGCAGTACTGATGGGAAGAACAACGAGATCACTAAAATACAGAGAGACTCTGTGTGTGCATCCAGCTCAGGGGAGGACTTACTGGTAGCTCTGTGAGGACAGAACTTGGGGTTCCTGCGGACACTCAAACACTCTCAAGTCAAATCAGCACTGCCGTTAGCCGAAGAAATTCTGCTAAAACTCAGGTCAATTTTTTTCTCTTTTATTACTCTTAGAAAACATTTGGTTGAGAATTTCATAGATGAGTTCTGTCTTTACATCCTGTCCATCACACCCTTTCATCTCTCCAACTTCTCCCATGCCCCTCTCTTAAATTCACAGCCCCTCTTCCTTAATTAGTACTGATGTACACACGCGCGCATGCGTGCACACACACACACACACACACACACACACACACACACACAAATTCACATCATTTTTAACTGTAACATTTTTTTAAGCAAACATTTCAGCAATGCCTAACTCCAGAGGTCATGTGCTATAAAGAGACTGTGTCTTTCTAAGCTGGCATTGTGCCAAACTTGGGTTTTTGGTACCTTTTCATCCTTTTCAGTGAATGTCCCACCATTTCCTGATTTCTTGTTGATGGCCTGGGCTACACCAACAACCTAGGATAAGAAGATTAAAAGTGACACATTTGTTTTCATTAGCTTTAATTCCTCAGAGTGAATGTGTTTGCAGAGGACATGGGCTGTTTAAAAGCACAAAGCTGAGATGCTAAAACAAAACCCAGTCCAGTCTTTTATTCCTAATAAGGGTAGTAATATTCTAAATTTCCTGGAACCCAATTAAACCGCATGGGACTCTGGGACCTCACCTTGCATCCAGATTAAACTAGCTGGTAATTATGTTTTAAGTAAATATTCTACATAGTTTTCAAGTACAAAAAAAAGCAGGAAAAACAACTCTTATTATTTCCAATAAAATGTATCATTAGCAAACATTTTACATTGATTTCAACTATTCCTAAAAGGCTGAGTGCTCATTTACTGAAGATGAAGCAGGGCCCAGTGGCCAGTTGCAGAAGAATACAGGACAATCATCCATGCACAAGAACTCTTGTGGAGGAATGTAACTCAGCTTCTTTTGAAACTTCTGGTTTGAAAATTATTTGACCTTCAAGAGAATTATTTTTGGTAAAAGAAGTTATTAAAAAACCAAAACAGGAATTAACAGGCGAAGCCTGCTTTCACATAGGTCAGAAGGAATTTGAAAGATAAACTGTACTTAAGTTGGCCAAGCTAAACTTGGCCCGTGTGCCTTGAGTTCCACAAAAGGTTAAGAAAGACTTGAAGAAACCTCTCCTCAGTCAGCCTGGAGGGCCACTGGATATTTCCAGTTCTAGCTGAGGTTGAGAAGTGACTTGGCGTTTATCACAGCTTACAACTTACTTTCAGCTTCCTCTTAATATGAATTCTACCATTTCCTTCTTTTCCCAATTTAGTATCGTCAAGATAAACTATTTTCCCCTAAGTGCTCACACTTTAGGGAACACAGCCATACTTCTGTGTGGGAGGTTCATCCTGCTTTGTCCAGCTCACTCCAAGCTCCCTACCTAGAAGAAAATGACACACAACTCTCCCTTAGGAGAGCAGAGCAGAAAGGGGAAATATATTCTCAGGAGATGCAGTTTCCTGGTACTCCCAAAATGGTTTTTTTCCCCTTCTCTCCTTCTTTATTATATCATAAGAGGACAATATGCTTTTTAAAAAAAGAGAATTATTCATTTATCCTAACCACCTTTGTTTCCCTAGGTTCTATTCACTCTGACTTTGACAAGCCCCTTGCACTCTCAACACTTCTCGATGCTACTGACAAATTCCTGGGAAAGGTTTTGTCCAGGTTGAGCATGTCTGGTTTGTAGCTGGGCATGTTCACTTGAAACAGAACTGATGAAAACAACTTGAGGGTCATGGGGCCTAATACGTAGCAGTAGAAGTGTAACCCTCATTTAAGTGGTCATTCATTCATTTATTCAACAAGGACTAAACTGCTACTAAAAACCAAAGAATAACAAAGACAGAAGAAAGGGCTACTCAGAAGAAGTTAAGTACGATCCATGCAGAGCCAACAGGCTGTGTGAAAAGTTTCATGGTGCAGTTGCCCATATTGAGAGCACAGCGGGAGGCACTTGGCAGAAAGGATAGCATGTTTGCTCAAAAACACACAGCTACTTAAAAACTGACCCCAAATCAAATTATGGTAACCTTTTAGACCATCAGTATATTACCATAAATTGACAGTGAGCTAAGTCAACATTGAAGTCTTAAAAGAAATAAAATCAGCTGTATAACTCGGAAGTAACCACATTGTGATTTTGACAGTGAGCTAAGTCAACATTGAAGTCTTAAAAGAAATAAAATCAGCTATATAACTCGGAAGTAACCATATTGTGATTTGATTAGATTGCTGGAGTTCCCTGAAAATGAAGCCAAAGTCAGGGTGGACACTTTGGTTCTCTGCAGTCCTGGACTAACCACTATAGGTACTTCAACCTGGTCAGTGGGCTATATGGTGGCTGTCTGAGCAATGCCTGGGACAACCAGGGAGACCTACAAGAGAAGAAGACGCATGGGTCAGGGGACATCAGTTCCCACTAGTACAGCAGACTCAAAATACTACTGGCTCCCCGGAGTTCCCTGTGTCTTCCATTTTAGTATCAGCCTTGGAACAAGGCTTCTTCAGACACAGAATGGTCCCTGGGGCTCTTTCTTTATTAAAACCTGTGTCCCAATTTTTCTCTCTCCTTCCCCCCTCCTTTTTCCTTACCCCCTTTCTTACTCTCACTCTGGTTTCTTGATTGAGACAAGGTCTCTCTCAGCCTGTAACCTGGGACACCTTTGACCTTGAAGCAATTCTCCTGCCTCTACCTCTCATATGGTGAGCTTGCTGGCATGAGCCTCCACACCTTCTCTTTCAACTTACGTTTTAGTTTATGTTTTTACACTAGGTGCATTCATTTATAAATAAGCATTATTTACAACTATGAGATTAAAAGTCTTTTTTTTCTGGTTAAAAGAAAAACATCTTTGAGGTCACACTATATAGGAAATCCTTTTATTCATTTTTTTTCTTTCTTTCTACTTTGGACATTAGTGTCTGCTGCTCATCTCTGAAGACCCTAACTGGGACTGTCAGTTCACCGTTGGCAGAGTGGTTGCCTACTGTTTGTTCAGTAGTTTGCTGGTCCTGGGGTGAGAATTTGAACCTGCTGCCTGTGAGAGGCACAGGCTCCTGTCTCCTGGTTCACAGCTTAAGCCGAGGGCACGCTCCATCGCTGCTTGCTGTGACTACTGATGGAGAAGAGCTCAGCTCACGGGCAGAATCCCACAGACGAGCCTTTCACAGAGATCACTTTAGACCCACTCACCTCCCGCCTGCAGTCTGGAGTCAACTACAGTCCACAGACACCATTCTCACACAATCCACACAGAATTTCAAACACTGGCAGCCCATCTGGCTTCTGGAAGCTCACTGTCCCTACCTTGGGTTCCCCGCTTGGCTTCAGGGATCTGTTGGTTTCTCTACTCTTTAACTTCGTTTGTATATTTAAACCTTGCTTTTTAGTAACATTTGCCCTTGGATCAGTTTGCAGAATGCTAGGATTTCTACATCAATTGTGTCTTCTGAAGTTGGCCTGATGAGCTTCAAAACCTACTCTGTGCCCCCTAATACCAAACATTTGCAGTTGTCGCCCAGGAGCCACAGGGCATTAATTTTAGGTCCCTCACAGTTCAAATGCCAAAATCTAAGAATACTAAGCTCCCTCATATAAAATGACATAGAGTTTGCATATAAATACACATGTCCTTTGCCTCCTTTAAATCACTCCTAGATTACTTATAATGCACAATACATTGTATGCTATTTTAGTAGTTGTTATAGTGTACTATTCAGGGAATAACAAAAGAAAATGCTTGCATATATTCCAAACCAACTTTTCCAAATATTTTCATCTTAATTTGGATAAATCCAATGAAGTGGGACCCACGGTTATAGAAGGAGATTATATTTAATTTCTTCTAATGGTAAAGAAAGATATGTACTAAGGTATTCCAGCAAGAAAGTACTCATTCTTTCTGACCAATGATTTTCCACTACTAATCTTATAGACTTAGATGAGAAGTTGGTTTGTTATTTTGTTTCAGTTAGGATGACTATCTGACTATAATATTTACATTAAAAATTAGGTGAGTGAGAGCTAGAGAGACTGCTCAGCACTAAGAGCATTGGCTGTTCTTTCAGAAGACATAATTTTGACTCCCAGCACCAACATGGCAGCTCACAACCATTTGTAACTCCAGACTCAAGAGATTCAACACTCTCTTCTGAACTCTGTAGGCACCAGGCACACACATGGTGCACAGACATGCATGTAGACAAAACACCCAGACACATAAAAATAAATATTTTTTTAATATTGCAAGCAGCTACATGCCATAGCACATGTCTGTACTCCCAGGACTAAGGAGGCTGAGGCAGGAGATATGTTAAGATTTAAAGGCCAACCTGGGCTACATAGGGAGCTCCAGGTCTGTCGGGTATATATACAGACTGTACCTCAAAAATCAATCAATCAATCAATAAAACCCCCACCAAAACCAAGCCAAACAACAACCAGACATTTCTCTCAAGAGAATCCTAGACCAGAAAAAGAAAAAAGTGTGTACATGTATTTCTCCCACCTTCATATGGATGACAATGCAAAAATAACATGGAATAAGGCAATAGGTTAAGAATAGAGAATTGGGACTATAGCTCAGTGATAGACAATTTGTCTGTCATGAACAAGGCATTTGGTTCAGCGCTCAGTGTTTCAGGGACAAAAGAAAGAAAATGTATAGTGTTTATCTACAGTCACACAGATAATCAAAGACAAAAAGACATCAGTGGTCTGAATTTCAAATGTCCATAGCAAAACCAGCATCCTCTGCCCTCCCGGAGTGGCTATAAAGGCCTTCCCTCTAGTCTGCTATTGATTGCCCTTTGAACAAATTGGTACATGTTCTTAAGATCAAACAGTTACTCTGTGGTTTACTTCGTTGTTGTCCAGTTTTTAAGACAAGGTCTTTCTGTATATATTATAGTTTAGGCTAGCCTGGAACTTACTATGTAGCCAAGGCTGGCCAGGAAATGTGGATCCTCTAGCCTTGTTAACTAGAGTACCAGGACTACAAGAATGAACTATACAACTTCTATTATAAGTATATGTTCAGACTTCACATTTGAGAGTCAAAGCCACTACAAATGTCAGATTCATTACTGGGAAGCCCATTCACTTGCTGCCTACCTGGTGCCCTATATTACGTTTTCAAGCAGAAAGGAGCCTCTATTTTACTGGCATTCCCACAGCATAAACAGATACCATGTCCTTACAGGGTTGAATGTTTTTCAGAATGCCTTGAGCCGGGCGATGATGGCGCACGCCTTTAATCCCAGCACTCGGGAGGCAGAAGCAGAGGATCTCTGTGAGTTCGAGACTAGCCTGGTCTACAAGAGCTAGTTCCAGGACAGCCTCCAAAGCCACAGGGAAACCCTGTCTCGAAAAAACAAAACAACAACAACAACAACAAAAAAAAACCCAGAATGCCTTGAGTCTCTCTGGGCA